ATTTTAGGACTTAGTAATATAATAATATAAATAATTTTAATATCCTTATTAATATAGAGGAGGGGGTTATACTTTTATTAAAATAAAATATAGAAACGTTATATTCTAAAAATTTCGTATTTACAGGCTATACTAATATTCTCCTTACCGGTAAAAATCGGCGGGTTCTTTATAGTCTATTTTAAAAATAATATTTTATTAGTATTAATACTAGTAGTTTTATTAAGGTTATCGAATAGGGATTAAATATTAGTATTATAAAATTTAAGGGCAGTATAGTTTATATTAAGGTTATTATATTTCTTTTAGAGGTTATTAAATTCAATTATTAAATTAAAATAGTTAAGGTTCTTTTAATCAAAATTATTTTAGGTTTTAGTAATTATTTTATAAACGGTTTTTAGTTCGTCTTCGCTACGTTTAAAGTCGACGGCGATATTTTTGTATTAAGTAAAATTATTATAGTAAAAGCGATTAAGCGGGGCGATAATTGATTAAAAAGTGGGGTCCTAAATAATAATATTAATTATATTAAGGTAGGCGCGAGGGATAGCTTTCTTCTTTTTATTATTATTAATACCGATAAGAAGGTTATTAATTATTATTAAGGGAAGGAATTTAATAAGTGCGGTTTGATAAATAGCGATATTAGTAGTATTAATAATTTTATTAAATACTTTATAAATATTATTTAAATTAAACGGTATGTTCCTAGGAGGGGTACTGAGGTTAATAAAATTATTAGTATTATTAATAGGAGAGAAGGATATATAATCGCTATTTTTATTATAAAATATAAAAAAGGTAATTATATAAAATAATTTCTTATTCTTTGGATAAAGAGTATTTGCTTTTATTTATTGAATAAAGGGAGCGAGACTATAATTGCAATTATTATAATTTATAATTATTAGTGTTTAGGGTGTTGGATTCGGCAATTCGACGAATAAGGCAATTCCTATACGCGCGTTAATTGAAAATTAATAGCGCAATAAAAGAAAATAGGTTTATATTATAAATATAATAATTAAAAGGTGTAATTAATTATTATAGGTAAAGGGTAGGTAGTAAATGTAATTATATATAATTGTACGAAGGAGAAAGGAAGAGAAGTGTAGCTGAGTGCCTAGAAGGCTGGCCTTATGAAGGCAACCGCCGGCGGGTCTAATAGACCCGCGGTAGGTAGCGTTTTAATTAATTAATTGCCGGTAATAGTTGGCTTACCGGCGGTAATAATAGTATACGGCAGTCTTAGAAGCTACTATACGCTAGCACTAGGCACAAGGCACACAGGCTAACCCTGTAATAGAGGCCGAACCTAATAATAAATATAATCTTCTACTCGTTCTTAGGAATAATCCGTAGCTGGTTAAAAGCCGCTATAATATTAAATTTATTAAATTACTTTATTTTTTAGAGGGCGTTAATAATTTCCCTAATAAGGGGGATAAAATACTTATTTTTAATAGTAGTATTATTTAAACCCCTATAATTAATATAAATACGAACGTTCCCGCTAGGTTTCTTAGCGAATAGGATTAAAGCGGCTATTAGTAAAGAATTCGAATAAATAAAATTAGTAATAAAGTAATTGTCTAAGTATTTACGAATAGTACGGAATTCCTCTTAGAATATAAGCTATAAATAATAGTAAAAAGGGTTTTAGCTAAGGATTAAATCGATTTTATAATTGAAAGGGCGGTAGGGTAGTATTATTTTAGTAGTATTAAAGTTGAAGGCCTTCTATTTCGGCCGAAAATAATTTAGGAAGGCGTTGAAAATCTCCTATTAGGTCGGCGGTAATTTACTGTTAATATACTTTTAAATATCCTCCGTTAAAATAGCCCTAAACTATAGCCTCTCTACTACCTAATCCCTATAATTAATAATTGGTTGGGAGAGGGGCTATTCGGTAAATTAGCCCTAAAAGACTATCTAAAGCGTAAAATTATTGAAATTATAGAGAAATTAATTAGGGTCGGCTAAGTTATTGGATACTTAAGTATTGTCTATAATACCGGTGGGTCCTAGCGCCGAAGGTTTAATAAAGTAATAGAATTAATTTAGTGTATATTTATAAATTTTAATACCGGGCTCTTTATATACGAAAATAAAATTAAAAGTAGATAGTATCTAAATAAAAGCGTTTTAAGGCTAAATATAACTATTCGAATATATATTCACTAGTAATTATAATTTCTTTATTACTATAGAATAGCAATAGAATGTTTTAAATTTTACAATAGGTTTAAACCTATCCCGGGGAATAAGTTTAGTAGCCGGCGTAGTAGTTAGGAGGTCGGTTCCGGCCGGATTAAAATTTAGGGGGATATTCTTAAATACCCGCTAATTAAACCTAATAAGTATTAGAACTTTAATAGTAGTAAAACTTAGGAGCTTTATAGAACTATTAAATTAATTGATCCTCGGGTTGTATTTTTATAATTAAAGGAGGCTAAGGATTATATCCGGATTACCGAATAACTATATAAATAAAGTTAAACGGTTTATAAACGAATTTAAAGAATAAAATAAGATATAAACGTATAAAATTTTATTGCCCTTCCGGCTATCAGTTAAATAAAGGGTATATAACTAAAGGAGTAATATAGTAAGGATATTATAATAATATACGAATAAGGAATTAATAAAACCTATTGGGGAATAACCGGAATTGATTATAGTAGAGTAAGAGACCGACGAACCGGCGTCGAAACGAAGGGAATTTAAAAAAAAGAAATTAGTATTAGGTCTTATAGAATATAGATATAAGTCCTCTAATTTCTTTGAATTTCGCCTCCAATAGCGATTTATACCGGAAGTTAAACTTTTCCTATATTTTAAGGAAGTACTAAAACAACGGCGAAATTAACGGGTTTCAATTTAACCTTTACTATACAAACTATTATGTAGTAATTAAGAACGTTGTAATATATATATAAATTAAACTTCCAGCGGCGGTCCTTCTTAATTTAGGAGATCGGTCCCTTCTAGGGGGTACTAACCTTATTAAGAACTATAGGGTCGCTAGCGTTATTAATTAAGAACGGCGGGCGGGACGGGGCCGAAAAATTATTATTCCAGTAACAATAATTATTAATATTATTAATTAAAACCCGGAGGAATTTAACCTATATATTAAAATCGTTAGCCGCTAATCGCGTAATAACGCTAATTAAAGTATTTTAAAAGGTACTACTAATTTTAAATTTAAAGGCGTCGATATAGCGCCGTCCATCGAATTCGTACTAATCGGCCAATTTAATAAAAGTAGCAATAAAATTGGCGAAGAGGGTATTACCCTATTTAAAATAGTCTATTTCCTACACCGCTTTAGTATAAATATTTAAAATAATATAATAAGGGTCGAAGTAAATAAGGATATCCTAGAAGTTAAAGAATTTAATTAACTAGGTTGAAGTATTATAGAGGTTAAGGGTAATAATATCGATTTTAGCCCGAATATGTATATAAATATTATTAGAAAGGTATTAAGAAATATAGAGAATATAGTCGGTTAGGGTTAGGTATATAGCGAAGTTAAATATTAATTTAGCAATTAATTAGAACTACTAATTAATATATTCTTCCTAGCGTTTAAATAAGGACGTTTCAACACCGCTAAATATAGGGGGTTTAACGCTATATAGACGGGTAACGCCGGTAATTAAAGCAATTATAATTAATACTACTATTATATTAATATTCTATCGCTAGGCCCGGTCTTCGACTATAGTAAATTATTACTACATTTATTAGGCCTACGCAATTATAATAACAACTTTAATTATAACCCTAGCGAAGTCCTACTACACTTAAAAAATTGTAGTAAAATTCTAAATAGTAGCCTATTAAACTTAATTAATTATTTACTAGACGTCTAAAACTTCCTATTAGGCAGTGCGAAGTTTACTATAAGCCTAACTAAAATAGTCTTCGATAATAGTAAGGTAGAATTGGAATTAAATAAGGATATTAGGGTCCGCCTCCAAAATAGAAGCGAAATTAGAGAGGTCTTCCTATAGGCCTTCAACCGTTTCGTAAATAAAAGGGAGGGTATTTAAACAGAAGAGAATCCGAATAATAACTTTATAAGTAAATATAATATTAAAGCCGGGGGTAGGCGCGCTTGACGAATTCGTAGAGTCGTTTATAATTTAGCGTAGGGGTTTTAATAATAGAACGTTAATAGTATATTATATAAGGAAAAGGAAGTAAAGTATCGTAAGTAATTAGGGTACGTAGTATAATAGTAATAGAACGTAATAATAAAAATAAAATTATTAGTTTAGGGCGTTTTCTAAAGGGGAATTTTAACGAAGTATAATTAAGTTGTATATATAGCGTAATAAAACTAGGACTAAGGGACTAAGAAAAATCGGCACTAATTTTAAAATAAATCGAGGCGAAATAATAAAGAGGTCGTTAAGCTATTAATTTAATAGAAAAAGTACAATATACTATTACAATACCGATTAAGAAGGATTTGGAGAAAATGTAATATTGTACGAAGAGGAGAAAATTAGAAGAGAGTAGTGAAAATTCTACTCCCAAGCTATATACATAAACCAAGTAAAGACTCGATAGAACTAACTAAAGGACGGTTAGATTGCGGTGGCGGAACGCCGAAAGGGACGGGACCATATCATATAGTGCCGTGACAATTAAGTAAGATTAATAGCGCTAGTAAGGAAGAGGAAGTGTAACGACGGTAGCGTAATTATTAGGTATTTAAAAGTATTTAAATTAAAAATTAGTATTTAAAAAGATTTAAAATTAATTAATTTAAATTAAATTATATATATTAAGTATATAGAATATAAATAAGTGTAGTACAAATAGGTATAGTACAAATAAGTACAGTATGTGGGTGTAGTATCGGTGCGATTAGCTGTGTGAAAAAGAGTGAAAGAAATTGACTAAGTTAGGGGAATGTTGGCTACATTGAAAAAACGAAATTTTGTGGGTAAAAACGGGATTTACAATGTTAGGTGTTATTAGCTAGACTGCCCTATTTTTTTAGGTAGGGGAGGGTGCGGGTAGGAACCGTTGGGGTGAGGGTAGGGTTTCCTATTAGAAAGTAAATAACAACTAGACTTATTGCTTCTTGCCTGCTCGTGCTATGCTCATCGCGACTTCCCTCCTTCTGTCACATTGTACATCGAACTCAAAACTCCTTCTCCGAGTGCGTGTGGATATTATAATCTAACAAAAGCCAAAGGAAGAACGTATTAAAACAGGATCAACAGAAGAAGAAAACGCATTAGCTAGCTTCTTTCCTTCACCGAGAGACCGAACGGAAGTGTTGATGGGGAACGAGCATTCAAATGCCGTGACCTGTAGACGTATTGCCGTTAGCACCACTGGACTTCTGATATCCCTCAAGCTGTCAACCGAACGAAAAGGAATACTCACGTCCCAACTGCTTTCCCCTCTTTGACACCTCCTTAGCATGGTACTGCTTAATCTTGGCCCTCCTCGCCTCCTCCTGTGCCTCGAGCTCCAACGCCCTCACATGCTCCCTAGCCTGCCTTACACTCTCCCTGGCAGCCATCAGCGCTCGATCCGCATCGCGTTCAGCAGCCTCGGCCATCATAACGCGCTCGCGAGCCTGCATGATGGACGGGTCGACGTCGTGGCTGGTCGAGGTACCGTTGCCAAAGGTGCGAGACAACAGGCTGCCCTTGCGCTGAGTTCCGTGTCCGGAGTCTCGGCTGGTGGAGCGGTTGCGGTCCGAAGCGGAGGAGTAGGTGGGCGACCCGGGAGAGGGCGAGCGGTGGTGGGAACCGCCGAAGAGGGAGTGGCGCTTGGGAGCGGGCTCCTGGTAGACGGGGGCCGGGGCGGGCTCGGGCTCGGCGTGGCGGGAGAAGAGAGGCATGTTGATGCTTGTTGTGTGGTTGTTGTTGTTGTTGTTGTTGTTGTTGTTGTTGTTGTTGTTGTTGTTGTTGTTGATGATGGGGTTGGTTGAGGTGAAGATATTCAAGGTTTGCTGAGCCTGGATGGTTCGTTTGCTTGCTGGTTATCGATGAAGGTGAAGCGTTCGGACACAGGAAAATCTCGGCACTTGCGATGGTATTTCTATCCCACCACGACGACAGTCATCATCGTTTGTGTAGCCGATGAAACCTGCTTCTGGCCACCTCATGTTTGGTTGAAGACGTTGCTGCTAGTGACGATTAGGATTCAAAATGACGTCAAATTCGGTTGACGAAGGAGGGTGACAGGACCCTTTGAATGGTTTGAAGCAACGCGCTCCAATGAGAAGGTCTAAAAATGACGATGGCGGCGTGGATGCAACAGCCCAACAGGACCGATGGTTGAAGAAAGGACCCTGAGAAACCAGACTGTCAATGGCTGATGCAGGGTTTTGGGCCTGAACCACAATCGGGGAGAATGCCATCATGGTCGGATACCAAGAAAGCTGAGTGGTTGAGGCATCGGCGTGGAATGCTTTCCTTGAACAAGGTTCGTGCCAAGTTTTCTTGTTTTGTCAGCCACGGCAAACGTCCATTATCATTGCGCACCACGTCAACTGTAGGGGTAGCTTGGTGGACTTGGCTTGAATACGTGCTGGGACGTTGATTGAGGTCACGTCCAGCATCAACAATCGACGACGCCGTCATGTTGAAAATGCCAAGTCGACATATCATCCCGAGCACCTCGCACTTGCCATATCACGGTCATGAACAGTAGACAAAATGGGTAGCACTAAGCCCAGGTCGGTGAATATGATTAGGTACGTAGGGGTGTGAATGGTTGTCATCCGGAAAGACGTCGGTCGGGCTGAGCGTTTTCCAGATTTCGTAAAGATGTCTTGGAAGCTTCACAACATTCTCGGGAAATAAAGTTGCCAAGGGAAACCATACACTAGTGGACCATAACATCGGCGCTAGGAAACGGAGTGGAGATGGTTAAGGCTGGTGAAAACAACAAGCGGGGGATCACGTGGGACAACATCTGCCATATGGGTCCCACCAAAGCTCAATCAAAAGAAAAGAGGTCTGTGCATGACCGCCGCGGTTTTAGAGCTCCACTGTAGCAAGAGGCGCGTCGGGACTTTTGCAGCAATCAAGTCAAGAAACAGCAATCGCAAACAGGATCCTTCACCAAACATCAACACCACCAGGCATTTCTTCATCCCCACCACCTCACAGTTCACGATAGCAGTTGTCAAATTGCGATCGCGTAAATCCTACAACAGTATTTCCACACCCAATTTTAGCGATTCGCGAACAAGCAGATCTTTCCACAGCAGCCACTACATCACCACTACATCACCAACAATGGCCTCTCGCTCGAGGTCTCGGTCGGCCGACCGCTACGACGACGACCGCTCCAGGTCTCCCACACCTCGCCGCCACCGTTCTCTTACACCCCGCTCCGCCCGCGACTACTCGCGCGAACCCTCGCCCACCCTCAGAGACAGAGACGCTTCCTTCGACCGTGAACGAGGCCGCTCCCCGCCCCGCAGGAATGGTGGTGGTGGTGGTGGTCGCAGCCTGAGCCCGCCACCCGCTCGCGCTAGGAGCTACAGCCGTGGAGGAGATAGTCGCTCGAGATCCAGAAGCCTTACCCGCAGCCCGAGCCCACTTCAGCCCGTCAGGAGCACCAAGATTGTCGTCGAGCGCTTGACCAAGAACATCAACGAGAACCACCTTCGCGAGATCTTTGGCCAGTTTGGAGAGATTGAGGATCTGGATTTGCCTCTGAACAGGACATGTAAGCTTCCCTGGTTGTTCTTCTGCGGTTTACATTCACTCTGGCAACTGCTAACCTTGTAATTTACGTCCAGCCCGCACAAATCGCGGCACAGCCTACATCCTCTACGTACACGAAGCCGGCGCCGAAGCCGCCATCGCCCACATGCACGAAGCTCAGCTCGACGGCGCCGTCATCAATGTTTCTATTGTCCTTCCCCGCCGCAAATTCTCTCCTTCTCCACCTACCGCTCGTAGGGGCGCCAACTACGATCCCCGCCAACCCCCGCCGGGACCCAGAGGAGGAGGCCGCGGCGGCCGTAACAGATCCCCCGGACCCCGTGGTGGTGGACGTCACGCACACCGTTCCGATACTTATCGACCTCGGTCGTTGTCACGATCGCGATCCCGTTCTCGCTCCCCCGTGGCCGCGTCTGGAGGAAACAGGAGATACCGGTCTAGGTCACGCTCTTGGTCCTCCCGTTCACGCTCTCCTAGTCCGAGGGGCGGACGTGGCGGAAGAGGAGGAGGTGGTAGAGGCGGAAGAAATGACGTGGACGACAGAGGACGTAGGAGTCTTAGCCGCGCTAGTTACGACAGCTATGATCGCAGGAGTAGGAGCCGCAGCCGCAGCCGTGATTGGGACAGACGTTAGGTGCATCCCTCACGCAGGGTTTGCACGTGGCAGCCTGGGGGAGATTCTCGCGGTGCATAGGACGAGGTAAAGGAGGAAGGTAATCGGTTAATGGGAGCATCAGGCGTTGGGAGAGGCAGGAAAAAGTCGACGATACAAAAAGGGGACAACAACAGGTTCGGTGTGAGTGTCCTTCCCTTTTGGAGGAAGTATTGTATGAATAACAGGAGAAAAGGGGGATTTACTCGTGTTAGCTTACATCGATTTGTACAGGACGCCTGAAGAACATCTCGCGATCCGAACCGAATCCCAAGATAGATGCCAACAATTGTTGAAGTTGGTCCCAGAAAGAGATGAACACGAAGAATCAGATAACATCCAAAATTCAACATCGTTGCTCGCCGGCGTCCATGCTCGTTTCTTGGTGGTACGTGAAAGATATTCCTGACAAGCTATCTTTGGATGGTGATTTCTATCCTCTCCTCGTTTCCCTTGGCCTATCTACATACGGTCCCATCTAGCAGGGGCAGGTTTCTGTTCTTCCGACCCAACCCGATGTTCCATCTCGTACTCCATGTACCATTTTGGAAGCCTGTACCGCCAAACCAGTTTTGCCTTTCAAGTTGATGCATGTCATCAACACCTGACCAATAAAATGGGCTAACCGAGATCCGAACAGTCGTATGTATACAATAGCGATTCGTATTCCCTCGCTAAGAACATGCAACGTTAACCCCGTTGCCTGGGCCTCGAGATGACTCTTTCGACCTACAGTCGACGATCCGCATCCCGAAAGATTCCATCTCAGAACCTCATCGTCCGCCATTACCAAACCAATTACGTGATGGTCGAGCACTCTTCCAGCAACTAGGAAACAGGCCCGATTACCAGTAAACACTCCGATGACCAGGCGAAGCATGCATTTTTCGATGATCCGAAATATTTCGAAACACTTTCGGTCAGCCCTAAACGTGGGCCCGAGGCTGCGCCCTTCGTCATGTGCCGCGCGTATCTGGGGAACCATTTCAGTTCCTCTGTCTCGGATACAAGCGATTGCGCCACAATACGACCATGGCACCGAGCCGGCATCTGGCGGCTCTTTGACAATACGGTGCCGCCGAGTCGGGTCCGCGTTGTCATTTCCAATGGCTTGGTTCTGGTTGAAGCATCATTCTCAAAGGTGCTCACCTCGCCCTTCCCCCAGGCCACAAGAACACATCATCACGTCAACAGGCCCAATTACATTTTATACTCAAGCACAAGTGTGCGTGGCACCACAGTCACTTGTACAAGTGATTCATCATGATACAACGTGGTGGTCGATCCCTTTGAATGGGTTCTTTTGCTTGTGCTTACTGTCTGCTGCAATGTCAGAGTGTCATCTCTGTTTCCACATTCCTCTCTCCTCAAGTTTCCCTTGCTGTCTCGTTTCTTCTTTACCGCACGCAACACAGCACATGACCAACACCGGCTGTCCGAAACCACAAGGGCAACGCCCGGTATGCGAGAGTTCTCACCGCCCTGATCACGCCGCAAACCCACGCTGGGTTTGAGGCTCAGATCATGTACGGCAATGCTGTATTTTGGTAGAGGTACCTTTTTCTCCTCGTAGGATGCATCGCTTCCGTCCACCAGGCACAACTCAGGCACTCAGATGTTCCCATCAAGAGACATAGGTACCTCCCGAACTCCCCGACACGGTTCCTGCCGTGGGTTTCCACCACCATGCTCGGAAACGGGAAAGCATGCCCTCCCTGGTCTGTCAACGCGGCTTTGCGAGCATGATCAAATAATACCTGGTCTCGTGGCCTGAGGAGTCAGGAGTAAGACCATGTTGCCTGCGGTTGGACGACGTCAACAACTCGAAGCCTCGAGAAAGCGAGTGAGGAGTCATTTTCTGGAGCTCGTCTTCATCTTGCTACAGTTCCTGACCGAACGAGATCTTACCAGACTTACCTACGGTAACTTTCTTTTTCCCTAGAAGGCAGTACTCGTCCTTGTTGATGCCTTGGGTTCTTCGGGCCTTGCGGACTCACGCATCGTTGGGGGCTGCGAGATGAGGCTTACCTTAGTTATGCGCAAGAGCGTTCATCGTAATGCGTTCACCGTCGAGGGCCGGCTTTGGCGTTGTGCCTGTGCAAATGTTGATGTTCCAAATGCTCTTATAAAAGAGATGGTATCTCATCGCCTGAGGCAGGTCTTCTGGTATTGTAGATACCTTCAGTCGTGAACAATTGCTCCTAGGTGCTCACCCAAGACCCAGTTGATCTTGACGACTCTAATTCACTCTACTCTCGTCCCGCAAGCTTCATCTTTGCTCGCAATCAACAACTTTCTTACCCTTCCACAAGATGATATCAACCGACCTCACCATCTACACTCTCCCCTTCACCAGGGATACCCCTGGGCACGTACCCATCTACCAAGACAGCTATTTTTCCTCCTCCTCCACCCCGTTTTCTGGCGGATCTCCCAGTACCATTCCTGCTGTTCATATCCCCTTCGTCACCCTCCCCAATCCTCCCCGGCCACCTACCCCCGGACCGACACCCAGACCAGGACCTCTCTCGCCGAGGCCGAATGTGCCGAGTCCACCGCCTACGCCGAGGAAATAACTCAAGTCATATATGTTGGTATGTGCCTGTCATGTCGTATCCTACCCTATTCCATTCTATCCCCTTACTGCCCGAGTATACAACACGGCAGTTTTCTTCACTGTTGAACAAAGAAAAAATTGGAGACTAACATCAACGTCTTCGGTAGGACATGATACATTACACTAAATTATATCGGTATAAAGCATGAAGCACGGAGCAAAATATGGTGCTGAGTGGGCTGGGTGCGCTAGAAAGACTGGACGGACTTGCTATCAACTAGGCTACAGAGTCAAAAGCTGCATTCATGGGTAGATTTCGTATCTGTTTATAGAGAAAGAAGAGAACAGAAGAGGAAGTGATCTGGTGCGAACTGGAGGCTTTCTTTGGGGAAGTAATGGCAGCTGATAGTGGCTAAGGAAATAGGGGATGAATAGAGGTAGCATGTACTGCTTGTTGAGAGATAAGAGGGAGAATAGCTAATGGTCAAGATAGTACTACATACAATGCATCTTATAAGGCTGTCTACTACTAAGTTTACACAGTTTGGGTGATGATTGGAAGTAGCGGAATTGGTGATATTGGTAGGGTATGTGACTCGGAGCGCAGCAAGAAGTTTGGTTTGTGTGTTTGTGATACGTGAGGAAGGAGATAAGTAGAGGTAAACGCGGTGTAGAGGTAGGGTTCGTGTTACACAATCTTCTCAGTCAACAACAAGGTGGGTAAGGTACCTACCTCTAGGTACCTTTAGGGTAGGTATTTTCCCAAACCTTTAGACTCTACTCCGAACCTCGTCGAATAGCATAGGTTTCCAAACCATAGTCTGCCCGTGTAAGGTAGCCTTTCGCGCTTATTACCAATAGTAGGTAGATAGTCCATAAGACTGTAGCTTATGGCATATGGAAGCGGTGAGAGGTACTTGAGAATTCACAGTGGTGCTTAGTAACAGCCCTACAGCCCTATCAACCACAGGTACAATCCTACTGGACAAAGCCCGGAATTGGATGGATGGCTGACACGGACTTTTCGGACCGAGTCCCAATCTACCGGGGCGGTCTGCTCCCAACGCAATGGCGTCCTTCTTCTACAATATCAGCAGTCGTTGTTGATGCTGGATGTCAAAAAGGAAGTAGGAGTGGAGCATGAGGTAAGGATACAAAAGCAAAGGAGAAAGAAGAGAAGCCAGAGAAAAGAAAAGACTACCCTGACAGGGAGTTGAACCCTGCGCTAGGTAGGTACGGAAGAGTTTGAGAATCCGTCATGTTAATCGATACACCAGTAGGATCTTTCTTGGGTTCCATTGTTGGAATCTGGTAGCGAAGGTCAAACTTATAAAGGGCTGTATGTGTTGTAGGGAAGGTGCGAGTTTGCTGTCTGATTTCAACACCGGAGATACATCAAGACTGGATGTCAGGGTAGGAAAGCTGGACCGTTGGAAACTCATGCCAGACACTCGAGGGCTGTCAAAAAGCGCACAATCCATATGGTCTTTGAAGAGGTAATATATGCCTTTGAACCATTGAAAAAACGTCATCTCACCTTATTGACATCTCAACAATTTTGCCTGGATTTTCTAGGTAGGTACGGTTCCGAACTCGAGTTCGAGGACCTTGATGGTTCCCTTTGTGATGCTGACGGCCTGACAGCTGGAGGGCACACTGACACTGCCAGCACATGCCCGACAGCATGCCCGCTACTGCCGCTGGGACCGACAGGGGATGCAGTCAAGTCCCTGAAAGGAAAGTCTTGGCTTACCGAATGGGATCCACGTATGTAAGCACGGGGAGCCATATCGACGAATCACTGCAGCCGGCACACAGCGATAAGCTGATAAAACACTGATAAGATCCGACTGACCCATGGCGACGAAAAGACAAAGTCAAGGGGAGAAAAAAAGAATTTTGGTGGGGCTCCCCGTCTTTTGTTTCGCTGTCCGCGTCCGCTAAGTAAAACAAAAAAAAGACACCGACACAGGCGCTGTGCCCCAAAGCCCACCGCCATCCAAGGGACCCCGCCACCGCCCGGCCTTCCCCTTCTCGTCCCAGTCCAGTCTACTGCACTCCGACTCCAGCAAAGCAGAGGGCAGACATTGTGTTGTTTTTTCCGTTTCTTCCTTTTCTCCCCTTCTCCTCTTCTTTTGCTTCACCTCTACACCACCCGCCATCCCCTCCCTCCCTCTGTCTGCGTTTGCGACAGCATCACCAAGGCTCCTTTCTCCTTCCTCCGCCTTGTGTCGTCGCCACGGGCATTTCTCGCCCCAGGTCCCTATCAGAGACCGTCTCTTTCTAATAACCAGACATTCCCAATCTCCCCTCTTTATATACCAGAAAACCCAACAAAAAAAGACAGACAGACACCATGACAGTCCCTATCATGGTCGCTGATGGCGCCGCGCCGCCCGTCAGCCAGGCCGACGTGGCTTCTATCCTCGACACTGTCTTCAGCGCAAAGACGTCGCAAGCCTCCATCGACGCCGCCTACGGTCTTTGCGAAGTCCTCCTTCAGTCCTACGGCTACCGTGGCCTCGAACTCTACGGCGTCCTTAGCGAACTCAAGAAGGCCGCCGCCGACAAGAAGAGCGGTCTCAAGCGCGAAGGCGCCCAGAACCTCCTCGGTGCCCTCTTCGAGAGGTTCCCTCCTCGTCAGCCCGCCAGCGAGTCCCTCCTCACATCGCCTGAAGCCGGTCTTGTTGCGTGCGCTCTCGACGCCCTCGCTGATAAGGGTGCCGTCGTCCGCGAGGCTGCCCAGTACGGTCTCGATGCTCTCTACAACAACCTGAGCCCCGAAGCTCTTGTCGTTGGCCTCCTCCCTGCCCTCATCGCCTACCTGGAGAAGTCCACCGGCAAGTGGCAGGGAACCATTGGCGCCTACCAGCTCATCGAGAAGATCTCCAACAAGGCTCAAATCACAATTGGCACCACCAAGGAGGAGGCGGCCGAGCAGGATGTTCTCCGCGAGGCCATGGGCACCAAGCTTGCCCGCTTGATTCCCATTGTCGAGGGCGGCATGCTCGACATGAAGAACGAGGTCGCCAAGCAGGCTGTCAAGACCATGACCGCGCTTACCACCCTGCTCTCCAACGACGACGTCGCTCCTCGCATCCCTCTGCTTATCGAGACCATGCAGCACCCCTCGCCCGCCACCGTCCAGAAGGCTATCCACGCCCTTTCCATGACCACCTTCGTTGCCATCGTCACCGCCCCTGTTCTTGCCCTCCTTACTCCCTTCTTGGAGCGCTCTCTTAGCAACCCCGGCACCCCTCAAGAAGTCCTCCGCCAGACTGTCGTCATTACCGAGAACTTGACCAAGCTTGTCCACGACCCCATCGAGGCCCGTACCTTCCTTCCCAAGCTCCAGCCTGGTATCAAGAGCGTTGTCGACCGCGCTTCTCTCCCCGAGGTCCGTGAGATCGCCACTCGCGCTCTCGCTGTGATGGACAAGGCCATGGGTAGCGACCAGGACAAGGTCATTGAGCGCACACACGCCGAGGATGTTGGCAAGGTCTTGGACGCTGAGGTCAAGAAGGCCGGTGGTCTTATTGGCGACCCCGTCGTCTACCAGACCGTCCGCAAGTACGTTGGCGAGATGGTTGCCGAGGATGTCAACCACCGCCACTGCAACCGCATTGCTGCCAGAACTGGCCCTTACCTCAGCTTCCTCGTCGCTGACCCTGTCGCTGTCGGTGAGGCTGTACAGAAGCACTACGTTGACGAGGATGCCATCAAGTATGGTGTTCCTGAGAAGGAGGACGATGGCGAGATCGAGATTGTCAACGCCGACTTCTCCCTTGCCTACGGTGGTATGCTTTTGCTCCAGCACACCAACCTTCGTCTGCTCAAGGGTCACCGTTACGGTCTCTGCGGTCGCAACGGTGCCGGCAAGTCTACCCTCATGAAGGCCATTGCTTCCGGCAAGCTCGAGGGTTTCCCCTCCCAGGATGTTCTCCGTACCTGCTACGTTGAGCACAACCAGGGTGAGGATGCCGATATCAGCATTCTGGACTTCATGGTCAAGGATCCTACCATTGCCTCGGAGGGTCGTGAGCGCATTTCTGCCGTTCTTGAGGAGTTCGGTTTCACATCTGGCCCCGAGGGTCGTCAGTCGCAAAAGGTCGGCTCGCTCTCCGGTGGTTGGAAGATGAAGCTCGCCTTGGCCCGTGCCATGCTCCAGAAGGCTGATGTCCTGTTGCTCGACGAACCTACTAACCATCTTGATGTTGCCAACATCAAGTGGCTCGAGGAGTATCTCAAGTCCCACACCGACATCACCTCCCTGATTGTGTCTCACGACTCCGGTTTCCTCGACAACGTCACCACCGACATCTACCACTACGAGCCCAACAAGAAGCTTGGCCACTA